GGATCCAGCTCGACAGCTGTGAGTTTTGAGTTGGTGTTTGCCCTCAAGTGAATTCTGATTCATAAAGACAGACTAGAACTTCCCCATAGGGTCTTGTAGGCTGACACCCTTACGGTAACAGATTGTCAGGTCTTCCCTCCTCTGCTGAGCAGTTGGCAGGTTCAAATTGCGGACCCTTTTGGTTAGCAGTTGAGTGCTTAACCATTGTGCCACCAGGTGCAATATGCACACCAAAATATAGGAATTTGTTAACATAATCAGATATCCAATCAGTATTCAAATGTTCCCCCATCTCAAGTATCTTGTTACAAATGTTTTGCTTGAAATGAGATGTAAAGGTGTATGTGTGTTGTCTTTGCTGATTTTTTATTGTGAGCTCATATTTGGATGATTTGTGTCTCAGAATCCTGAGGAATCTAAATTAGGGATATTTTCCTTCAGAGGATTTGCCACCTGAGACCACATTTGGTCCCTTCAGTTGTCCTTGCTTCATGTGAGAGTCCCAGGTTCAGTTAGCCCACTTGCATTGGTTCTAGGTTGATCTTAGCCTTCATATAGGTCTTTATTCCCAGGGAAACCCTTGATTTTAGCTAGCTTATTGCTCCCAGATCTCTATTTTGCTTTCAGCTCATGATTCTGATGGTTTTATTTTATTTATTTATTTTTGGCCTTTGAAGATTTGTATTATTCCTACAAGCTTAGTAAGGCATTAACAAATACATTTTATCTAGGATCTGTCTCAACTCTAGTGAGAGGGTCCACAGAATACTGGGCCTCTGTTACGGTTACTTTGTGCTGCTCTAACAGAAAATAGCACAAATGGGTGGCTTGAACAAACAGGAGTTTACTCTCTTACAGTTTTGGAGGCTAAACGTTGAAGTTCAAAGTGCTGAGTTCTAGGGCCTGGGTGAAAGCCCTTCGACCTTGGTCTTCAGCTCTACCTCTTGCTCCTGGCCCACAGGAGCTAGAGGTGTCTCTTCACTCAGGTAGCTGCTGGCTGCTGAGGCTAATGAGCCCAAGGTCGACAAATAAAGTGGCACAGTCCCAATATTACCAAGCAACATGGTGGGCCACTAGTTCAAGTCCAGAGACAGTCCCAAGATTGGCAGGAAACATTGTTGTTGTTGTTGTTATGTGCTGTCGAGTCAAACCC